TAATACTTTAAAACACGATTGGTATAATATAACCTGCATTTATACCTGTGCAACTCATCACTATATAGAATATTTAGTAGTGTGACCCAAACTGAATTTAGTTAAAACTACATTTAAAAGTTAGAAAAATAAACTTAACTTTTTCAAGTTACTAAATTTAATAAGTAAATTGAGTGAAAAATTTGATAAACTTTTAGTTCAACTTAAACTAGTCTGCTAATTTAAGTTAAACAAAAACAGTCAACTATTAAAATTAGTCAACTATTGGTAGATAAATATTAGAAAATTATAAGTTTCCTGACTAAAATTAGTCTGGAAACTTATAAGTTTGCTAATATTTATCTACCAATAGTTGACTAATTTTTTACAAAAAGTGATTATAAATAAAAGTTAAAAAGCTGTAATAAGAGTAAAAACATATTTTTTAAAATCTTTTTTAGTCCCTATAGGTTGCAAGCAAACACTATTACTATAGGCTGCAAGCAAACACTATTACTATAGGCTGCAAGCAAACACTATTACTATAGGCTGCAAGCAAAAACTATTAAGTTGAGAGTTACTAGAAAATAAAAATTAAGTTAAAGAGCAAGGAAAAAATTGACAAAAAACTTAAAATCTTGTAGGTTGTATGAGTCAGGAAAACATAATGATAGGAGAGAATTCCAAAGAAATAAAAACTTTTTTTAAGCATTCAGGACAGGCTGAATGACGAGCCAAATGAGAATCAATTTTGAACTTGATTGAACTAGAGATGATAGCTTCTTTTAGCAAGCAATCGTGTTTTTGTAGAAAAGAGAAAGAGATGCAATCTTACAACAATGGACAATAGGAGAAAGGCTTAAGCTCAACAAATAAAATAGACCTAATTACATTTACAATTACAATGGACATAGATTTACAATTACAATGGACATATTTAGGTTTGGCAGATAAAGCAGGTCCAACTACATTTACAATGTCATTTTAGACCTTGTCTAGAAGAGAAAAAGCATCGTTGGAAGAACTAGCTCAAATATTACAACAATATTACATATTATACAAGTAATCCAAACAGGGGAGCACATGAGATTCGCAGAAGTAGAAAATGGAATCAGGAGTGAGATTAAACATGATAAAGAGGTCAATAGTAAATAATAATTAAGAAGAGAACTCAGTGAAAGGTTTAACATTCCTTAATATGGGAAGGTCGACAAAATTGCAATAAATAGTAGAAATTGCAGTAAGTAAGTTTTGTTGGAGTTAAAATTTACAAGCCACTGCAAGCCTCATTTTGCTACAGAAGTGAGATCACATTCATCATTGGCTGCTTGTTCTAAGCAATCAAAATCAAAAAGAAAAGACAGGAGTGTAAAGTTGAGTCTACAGTAAATAGAGCCACTTAAGATGTGAGATTTTCAGGAAGTTCATTAATGTAGACAAGAAACTATAAACAACCAAGTATTGTAACTCAGAAAATACTGGAAATGAATAGAGTTTTGGCCTCTGGAGATGACCTAATAACGCAATTACAAAGAAACGATTTGGTAATCCTAAAAACGTTCCCAGATTTTTTTTTAGACTTTTTCATAAAATGTTGTGGAAAAAATCAGCATGCCAAGCCTTATCTAGAAATTTTGATATGTTAAGAGCAATAGCATATACTTTACTTCCTCCATCTAATGCATGTTCAAATTTTTTAATCACAGAAGTAAGCAAGTCAGCAATAGAAGGAGACCATATTGATTGTCAGAGAGTTAGATATTAGACTCAAGATGGGGTGGGGTAGATGGTGGATGGTGGGGTGTTAGAAATTTGTTGATTTAGACTTTAAAGACCTTGCTAATAACAGAGAGAAGACTGGACCCCAGTTAAAGGGGTCAAAATGTTGCTTTTTTCTCTCAGAGTTTTTAAAAGTTGGAACCATAAATACCATTTTACAGCAGGCAGAAAACAAGATTCAGTCAAACCCTTATTAAATAGTTTAGAAAAAATTAAAAAAAAGTTTGAATTAGAGGAAAAGTCAGGTTTAGAGACAAAAACAAAAATTAAGGAGTAAAGGTAAGTGCTTAGGGTTGTCTGGAAAACAAGTCAAAAGAATACCTCAGTAAAAAATTGAGAAAAACAGAAATTATTTGGTTTAGTACCAGCAGAGTCAGAGGCAGGGGCGTGTCTAGGGGATGTCTGCTACGTCGTTGGACGTACCCAAAAAAATTAAATAAAAGTTTTTTTAACTTGATTATATTGTTGAAAAAAATCGTACTATATGTAACTATTAAAACCATACTACAGCTAAAACTAAACAAATTATGCACGGTTAATTATCTGAAACGGTTGGAAAAAAGTTAAAAACCGGAAAATAGTTCAAATTCCAAAATATTAAAAACCGGAAAATATTATATCAGTTTCATAATTTTGCGATTGTTAAAAAATAATAATTACAATATTTTGATGGAGGTTAAACTAACTTTTGAGTTAAATAACTTAATTAGAAACTTGAATTGAAATACCTTATTTTATTTTGTTATATAAAACTTTATTATTTTAATTTTTTTTTTCATTGGTTTAAAAAAAATTAAAATAATTATTTTAGTTAAAACAAACTTTGGACTTCCCTTTTAATATACACCCTGAGTAAAATTTTTATCAAGCTTTATTGTTTAACTATCACCAGGAGGTAAAATTAGTTAGTAACAACAAGTATATATTAAAATATATCAATGGACATCCCCAGTTTTTTTACACTAGACTGTGTATCATTTTAGTAACTTGCATTTGAAGTAATAAATAAGGAGAAAAACGGTTTCAATTGTGAAAAATAAATTTTGAACTTCCCCTTTGACAAACACCCTGAGTAAAATTTTTGTCAAGTTTTATTGTTTAACTATCATCAGGAGGTAAAATTAGTTTGTAACAACTAGTATATATCAAAATATATCAATTGACATCCCCTGTTTTATTACACTAGATTGTGTATCATTTTAATAACTTGCATTTGAAGTAATAAATAAGGAAAAAAAAGGTTTCAAATGTAGAAAATAAGTTTCGGACTTCCCTTTTGCTATACACCCTGCTTAATTTGTGTTTTATTAAATTAATTAATTTTATTAAACATATCACATGGCCAATGATTACTTCAAAATGTCGCTTAATTCGCAAGCTAATATAGCATTTTAAAGAAAAAGTTAGTATGTTAAAGAAAAACATCATTTCCTATAAAGTTAGGCGAACAAATATTATATTAATTGTGTAGAAATTTTGATATCACAATATCCTTTTGATAAAAGGAAGACAGAGAAATGAAGGAAGACAGAGAGTTGTTACAAGTAGAAGCTGTTTATAGTTGCATCGATAAAAACTAGTATTTGGTTTTCTTTAATAATCAAGAAGAAGATTTTAGATTTATTAAGTATAAATTTTAATTAGCCATATTGTTTATCCTTTATGAGAATCATGATAATCGTAATAGGAACTATGATGAACCGTATAAAAGAAAAACTCGTTTACTTAGTATTTTAATAAAAGTTATTACTGATTTTTTTATACCTGTGGTTTTTTGTCTCAAAGAATGTCAATAATGATGCAGCTCCTTCTACTGCTTCTTCCACTGAAGTTAATAACAAATTTTGATTTTATTAATGCACTGTGTATGACAAGACATGTTTTTAAAATAACTTTTTTAATTACACAATTTTGCAAGCAAGTAATGATGATAATTTTTATAGTTTAAATCTTATTGAAGCATTAAAAGTTTTTGTCTCTATAGTTAGAAATATTATTATCCAACACCTTCAAATATGCTTTAAACAAGCCTAAAAATTGCATTTCAAATTATTTTAACTTGGTTATCGCTGTTTCTTGCTAGACTATCTGAGTTTTATCTAGATTACTCAATTTAACACAATGTTTTATTGATACAATTTTGAAGTGTTATAAGTACCTGTGTTTTAATTTCTTCTTTCTAATATTTGTTTCTTCTAATAACAATTTAATGTTTTGTTATACTAGTTGGGGAGACCAAATCATATGTTTTAGTGTCTTTTGTTTAACCAAAGGCTTTATTAGGTTTATTTATTATTTCTAAACCAAAGGGTTTATACTTAAATTTGATCTGTGGGAAGTTTAGATGAATTTCACTTAACTGCCTGAATTTCAAAAATGAACTTTAATCTAATAATACTGAAACATTACAAGCAACAAACCTTTTTAAGTTTGTTATAAATACTTATGAGCTGTGTTTTAAATAAAATTCAAATACGATAAAAGTATAACTTCAAATATTTGAGCTGCTTTTTGGTAAACAGCTATTTTCATAGCTGACATCTTTGTAAAAACATTTAGCATTGTACAGTTATTGCAATAAGTTTTTTGACTTTAAGTATTTATAAAGTTTATTTATAATTAAATATTATTTATAAAGTTATATAAAAAAATTTACACAGCAAAATCTTGTATTACTCTTGTAAATTGTTTTTACAAATCTTGTAAAAAATTTTAATTTGTTTATATTATACATTACAACAACTGAGTATTTTCAAAAAATAGTTTTTTTAGTTTGCAAATATCATATTTTGAGCTTTAGTGACCATTTTATCAATGTCACAAGTCATTTAAAGAATAAAAACGTTTTTATAAAATACACTCAGTCCGGTCAAAATCCGGACCCCCTCCCCCTCTCCAAAAAAACAGGGAGGCAAAGGTTTTTTTTTTTGGACTTACCCAAAAAATTTCCTGTACACGCCTAAAAGGTGTTAGAGCTTAGGCTTATAGTGTGAGGAGCATAAAAGTAACAATAATATTGGCAGAGAATTAAAGAGAAATGGTAATTTGATCAGAAATTACATCTTGAAGAGTTTTGAGCACATAAAAGAAAATTATGACAAATTAGAAAATTATTAAAAAGAATTATTATAAAGAATTATTAAAAATACTTTAACCTACATAAATTATTGAAATATTTTATATCAAATAAAAAACAGTAAATAAATATATATATTTCTAAAATTAACATACTTATTGCTTACCATCTAATCTCTTTGCAGCATCCATATCATCATCGTTGATTTGAAATTTCACAGTTTTTTTAAAGCATGTTGTCTCTACAAACAAATGAACAAGTATTTAAAAATATAATACATACACACATTCATAAAATAATTATCTGTCAAAGCATATTTTTTTATCTAAATTGATACCACTATTTAAGTTAAGAGTTACCAGAAAACAGAGAATATTGATAAAGAACAAGAAAATAGTTGACAAAAGACTTGAAAAAACTGTAAATTGTATGAGTCAGGAAAACACAAAAAAGGTAGAGAGTTCCAAAGGATTGATCCAATAGAGATAAATTTATACGAATGTTTTTAATGCATTTTTAAATATTTAGAGAAGTGAAAATTTTCAAAGGGTTTTTAAAGACACAGTAAAAAGTTGATACTTTGATGAATGACAAGCCATGTAAGGTTAAGAACTGCCTAATAGAACAAGAGATGATAGCTTGTTTGAGCAGTGACCATCTTAGTATTTTGAGAAAAGAAAAGATACAACTTTACAACAATTGTAAAAATTACAACAGAGGATCAAACTTGACATCTAGAGCAAGTTCAACAATATTTACAATACACTCGTATCTTATCTTGAAAAGAAGGACATCATTAGAAGAACCAGCCCAAATTTGACAAAAGTATTACATACATGAATGAATAAGATACTTGTAAAGGTAGAGAAAGACAAGTATGATTTGACAATTCTCTGCATATACTTGTCTCTCTACATGTTTGATAATTAAAAAGACATAGTCATACTTAGCAAGTATGACTATGTCTTTTCAATTATCAAACAATCAATTATTTAATTTCTTAGTCATTTAAATTTAAAGATTAAAATTTTAGATTTAGATGTTGACTGCCTCTTTTACAACTTTGTTCATTTTGGAGAGAGACAAACTTGAAAATAATTTATAAAAAACATTAATTTTGCTAATGAGATGAAACAACTATTTTATTCAGGATTGACTGAACCAGTTAATTGACCTCTACAGCATCTCTGACCATGCATGTACAAAATATACATGTATATAAAATATATATGCATGTACATAATATGGATACCTTAAACATTTACTTAGCAAAAGAAAGAGTTTAATAACTACTGTTTTATGATAGATAAAATGAAAATAATGTTTTGTTTGCTAGAAAATTTTTAAATGGAAAAACAATTTTATGCAAATACTCTATAATAATATTAAACTAATGTTTTTATTTTTATTAAAAAAATAGAAACATTCTAAATGGTTTTAAAAACATTCCAGCCTATTAATTTGCATTGTGGTTTTTTTAAAAACAATAAATTTCATTACATTTCTCAATTAAATATATTGACTTTGACACGAACTGTACTTAATTTTGTCTTATATAAACACCAGCATAAAGAGCTGTTTTTTACCACAAACTGTAAGTTTAGATATCAAACTATAGGAAAACATATATAAATATATATATATATATATATATATATATACATACATATATATATATATAAATTTTGTTGGCCTCATCCCCATTATACCTCGCGCAACTTTGCGGTAATGAGGATGGGGTTGCGTTAGTATAAAATTGTGTCTTTTGAATGTAATTGTTATCTTTTTGTCTTATGGTTTTCTTCTTTGGCAGAGTTAAAAAGAGCTTACTGTTATAATTTACTGCTTAGTTTTGCAGTTATAGTGTAATGAGCAAGAAATGTATTTAATAACATTAAGATAATTCTTTTAGTAATTGTTTTTACTTTTTTTTTTTTTTTTTTTTTTTTTTTTATTTGCATTCACTCCCAACAAGGCTGCAAGCAACCACTATCAAGTTGAGAGTTTCTGGGAAAAAAAAGAACAGAGTTATAGAGCAAGGAAACGGTTGACAGAAGACTTAAAAAGTTGAAGGTTGTATGAGTCAGAAAAACATGAAGATGGGAGAGAGTTCCAAAGGATTGAAGTGCGGGGAAAAAAACTAGATGAATAAAATTTTTTAGAGCATGCAGGGACAGATACAGAAAACGAATGAGACTTAGCTGAATGACGAGTAAAACGAGAATGAATTTTAGTTGATGGAACTAGAGATGATAACTCCTTTGAGCAGTGACCATGATAGTATCTGTAGAAAAGAGAAAGAGATGCAACTTTACGACGATGGGAAAGAGGTTCAAGCTTAGCAGATAGTCCAGGTCCAACAACATTTACAATGCGTTTTTGGACCTTGTCAAGAAGGGAAAGTGAATCATTAGAAGAACCAGCCCAAATATGACAACAGTAATCCATACAGGGACGAATAAGAGATTTGTAGAGGTAGAGAATGGAATCAGAAGTAAGGAAATGGCGAGCACGATAAAGAGAAGCAACCTTAGCAGAAGCTAATTTAGCAATTGATTGTATATATGGTTTCCATGAAAGGTCAGTAGTAAGCGATAATCCAAGAAGACGTAAAGAGGACGACTCAGTAAGAGGATTGCCATTCATTAATATAGGAATGTTGACCATATTACAGTAGTTGTTTGCAGTAAGCAATTGGGTTTTTTTAGAGTTGAAATTCACAAGCCACTGTGAACCCCAATCTATTACTGAAGTGAGATCAGATTCAAGATCAGCTGCTTGTTCTAGGCGATCGAAAAGAGAAGACTTTTTGTCAAGACAGGAGTATAAAGTTGAGTCATCAGCAAAAAGAGCTACTTTAGATGAAAGGTTGTCAGGAAGATCGTTTATGTAGATAAGAAACAAAACATGGCCCAGGATGGAACCTTGGGGAACCCCAGAAGTTACTGGAAATAAAGAAGAGTGTTGGCCTTCAAGGATGACTTTAATAAACCGGTCAGAAAGAAATGATTTGATAATCTCAAAAACTTTCCCAGAAACACCATATGAAGCAAGCTTATGGAGAAGACCAGCATACCAAACTTTGTCGAAAGCTTTAGATATGTCGAGAGCAATAGCCCTAGCCTCACCGCCTCCATCTAATGCACGATAAAATCTTTCAGTTACAGCAGTTAGCAAGTCGGCCGTAGAGCGAGAGGATCGAAAACCGTATTGATTGTCTGACAGCAGTTTATTTGACTCTAGATGAGATGTGAGGAATTTGTTGATCAAAGACTCAAAGACCTTGCTAATAACAGAAAGAAGACTGATCATACGATAATTAGAGGGGTCAGAATTTTCTCCAGAGTTTTTGAATATTGGAACCACAGATGCCATTTTCCAACAAGCAGGAAAACAAGACTCAGTCAAACACTTGTTAAATAGTTTAGAGAGAATTGAAGAAAGTTCTGGAGAACAATTCTGCAAGACTATGACAGGAATGTTGTCTGGACCACAAGCTGTAGACGAGTTTAATTGAGATATGACTTTAGCAACAGAAGCCGGAGTGATTTGAATGTCTAACATTGGGTCAACCTGTTTGACTGGAATGGAAGAAAGAGAATGTCCATAAGATTCAAGAGTGGAATTAGAAGAAAAGTTCTTTGCAAACAGTTCTGCCTTATCCCTGGGAGAGGTAACAAGATCAGTCCCATGAATGAGAGATGGAATGTTAGATCTACCCTTGTTAACAATGCTGTTGAAGATTTTCCAAAAGTCTTTAGAGCCTAACTTCTGCGATAAGATGCGAGATTTAGTGAACTGAGAATAATGGAGTTTAGCATCAGAAAGCACCTTTTTACATCGATTTCTTGCAATAATAAATAGCCGTTTGTTCTCAAGAGAGTTGTTCTTTTGAAAAAGATGAAAAAAATGGTTACGATTGGATATAGCAGCCGCACAAGAAGGAGAAAACCATGGAGTAGAATGAGGCTTGACTTGAAACCGACGAGAAGGGATAAAAGCTTCCATTCCAGCCTGAATCCAGGAGGTTACGTAGGAGGCACATTTGTCAGCTGAGAGAGAAAAAACATCAGCCCAAGGACCATCACGAAGAAAGTCACGAAAGGAATCCCAGTCAGCTTTAGGGTAGTAGTAGGTGGTGCGATGATAAGGTGAGCCCAAAAAAGAAGTACGAGAAGAAAGATTTATAGAGATCATTGCATGGTCAGAACCACCTAAGGGAGAAAAGGGAGAAACTGAACATAAGCTAGGGTCAGAGACAAGACATAAGTCAAGGAGTGAAGGTAAATGATTAGGGTTGTCAGGAAAACGAGTCACAAAGTTAACTATCTGAGTAAGAGATTGAGAAATGCAGAAGTTAAAGGCTTTAGTGCCAGCAGGATCAGTGGTGTTAGAGCCAAGCCATTCAGTGTGATGGGCATTAAAATCACCAACAACAACAATATTGGCAGAGGGGTAAAGAGAGAGGGCATGGTCAATTTGATCAGAGATAACATCTAAAAAAGTGCAATCATGGGAAGAAGGAGAACGATAAAGAACAAAGAGAAAGGTAATAGAGTGAAGAGGTGCTAGGCGAAAGCACATAAAAGAATGGTCAAAGGATTCAAACCTGATTTCACGACAAATAGGGGAATTAATGCGTATGTATACCCCTAAACCTAGCATGTGACTATTGAAGTCTTTACGAATCAAAGGATAGTACCCATCAACACTGACATCTAAAGAAGGAATTGCAGAACTTAAATTTGTTTCACTGAGTGCAAGCAAGTCTGGTGAATTTTGCAGGAGGTAAGACTCAACTTATGGAAAGTTGCTTCGTAGACCGCGAATATTTGTAAAAGATATATTAAAATATTTAGGTGGTGGGGATGGTTTTTTAGGTTTTAAATTTTTGGTTACTTTGATCATGATTTGGGTTTAATGAGAACTTGACATGATACTTAACATGATACTTAAAAAAGTAAAATATAAAAGTAAGAATAAAAAACAAAACAATATTTAAACAACTTTAATTAGTCATAAAAAACTACTTAATACATTCATGCTGGCAATAAAACACCTGTTTTTTTTTTTAAAGAGTACTTAATTGTTATTGTAAAAAGCTATAAAATAACAATAAAACAAACTGCTAAGTTGTTTTAAAAGTATAAAGAACTTTTATTAATGCAGGGTGTAAACTGGCCCTGTGGCGCCCCATCAAACGCGGTATTTCCAAACGTTCATAAAATTAAAATTCCCAAT